AATTTATATAAGTTAGAAAAATTATATTTCCAAATGAAATCCATCTCAACTATGCCAAGACCACTAAGGTGTAATTTTTGCTTGGGCTACAGCGTTCTATATTTTATGCAAAAGAAGAACTATCTTAGAATAGGACTTGCGTTTGGTCAATGCAGCGAAAGAGTCTAAGAGTTAGAACCTGTCGGATAATTTAGGCTTTATTTAGTATGATCATGATTTTTAATTTTTAATTTTAGTTTCCACAAATTTTATAACTACTAAGACTAATAATTTATCATGTCATAAATGGAATATTAGCATTCACTTATTAGTTTTAGTCATGTCATAAATGAATATCGAATAGTTGTGTTTGGTTAACCATAATAATGTTTATGTGGATGGTAGAAGTAGAATAATATAATCTAGGCCGCGCAATTGGATCGAAAGTCGAGAAAATGTGAAACCAACAATTCAGGTGAAGAAACAGACCTGGTCACTGAAAAAGGGTGCAATAGGGATATCAATGACTTCCTTTCCAATCCTTTCTGCACTTTCCCCTCCTGCTGCCTCTTTCACTTGCACCGTTGAAAATGTTGAGGCCAATGTAAGCATGTGGGGACAGTCAAGTAAATTCATCTCTGACAATGATGGACACTCGAGTTTATAATTTCCCACACAGAAACTTGTCAAGTTGGGACAAGATTCCAAATTAATGGTTCTTAACAGTGGGAATATTATCTCTACCTCCGTAGCTTCCTCTTCTATGATGATTTGCTCCATCATTTCACAGCTTTTCACTTTCATCTCTATGAGGGAAACGAGACTCGAGGCCATGGAAGGTGTTAAGAGATATTTCAAGTCACTACAATTACAAATTTCGAGGACACAAAGTTGTTTGAAATCTAAGATCTCTTGTGGATTCTTGTTCCATATTTCCACCAACTGAGGAAAGTCTGTGAGCTTCAAATATTGTAACCCAGAGAAACCAACCTACCAAGTACATACTTTAGTTATTAACATAAGAATATATCCAAATAAATTAATAGAGAAAAATGAAAAAAAAAAAGAAGCAATAGCTTACTCCTTGCATATGATGAATGGAATAACTGCAAAAATTGCAATAACAAATAGGGGAAATTTATGGCTCAATTCATACCTTTTCTTTGTACAATTGATTTATGGTACTATTCAGCTCAACCACCGGACGCCCTACAACATCTTCTTGTGTTAATCGTATTCTCTGCAGTCTTGGAGTCCTCACCACTCCGTGACAGAAGGTCTCAAAGTTGGCACATTGAGCCACCATCACTTCTTCCAACAATGGGAACTCGGGTGTGAAATTTGCAGAACAGAAGCTTGCAAGTCTTGTTAAGCACTTGAGTTTCAAAACTTTTAATTTGCTGAAAACAATCACATCTTCTAAATCTAATCCATCTCCTTCGCCTCCAACTATTTCTGTCAGAAAGTAGCAATTTTCTACAGTGATACTTTGGAGTTGCACCAGACTTTGGGCTGTTGCAAATGAAAATAAGTTTCTTAACCCTTGACATCTTTCTACCAACAAAGTGGTGAGCTTTCGGAAAGATGGTTTAGATTCTGATAAGTTGATCAAGTTATCACATCCCAGCCCTTTAAGAGATTCAACATTTTGAACAAGCAGGTCTGATGCTGAGCCTTGACTCCATATATACTTCAGATTAGGAAGTTTATCCAGCTTCAACTTTCTAATACGTAAATGCCATCTTGCATTTTTCTCCTGACAATCAATGGATGCTGTAGGAGGGAACAACTCCTTGAAATAAGAACAACCTATAAAAAGCTTTTCTAACTTGAAGAATCTTTCAATGAAGAAGAATGGAAAAACGGTCGATTCACTGTGGTAGCAGGGAACACGAAGAACTTTAACATTGGAGAAGAGGTATTCTGGAAATTGGCCAGTAGATATCATTGCAATGTCATCACTTGTTAATGATAGTTTCTCCAATCTAGGAATGACCTGAAGACCAATGTAAGAAAACATAATTTTATACCACTTGTTAAGGATATTGAAAAAGATATTAGGAGATATGCGTTAATTAGTAAAAGTTAATACCAAAACTTAGATAAAACCAAGTACTTTGTAAATGATAAATGAAAGAGAGCTACAATGGTTGAAAGAGAGAGAAGATCTGAGATCCCCTACTCTAGTTCTATACTTGAGTATTATTTATAGAATTATAGTGTATTACAATAGAGTTCATATATATAGAATAATGTCTTCTAATTCAACTGAATTAGTTTTCCATCCTTTATAAGATTCTAACATTTTGTAGTTGCATCAGTGGACGTTTTTGTTGGAAATGGTGCCCTAAATTGCTCAAAGCAAATATGGAAAATTCTAATTGAGTCTTGCATTTAAAGTCATACTGACATTTTGTCTTCTAATTTGATTCCAACTTGATTAGGAACCTTAAGACCTGTATGACAATATATAATAATTCCTATTGGTACTTGAATTTGTACTCTAGTAGAAATCTAAGAACCTTATTTGGATATAAATTTGTGATATAAGCAAACTTATTTATGTGTGGTTATAACCCACCCCTATTGGGGTGATTAAGGTTTTGGTTGACCAGGTTTCGCATAAACTTTTTTCCACACATTTGATTTAAAAATGTAAATTTATCATTTTTTAATTTTAATTAACTTTTTATATATTTTAGTTAATTTTAATTAATATTTTTTATATTTTTAGAATAGTAAAAGGAAAAAAAAAACTATAATACTAACGTAACACAAGAGCATTAACAAACAAGATCTAAAGAGTACTTTTTGAGTTAGGTGATGAGTGAAAAGATAGAAAAATGATAGTGCGATTGGCTCACAAAAAATATTTTTCAAAAAATGTTTTTTCTATTTTTTTTGTAGGATAATGTTTGAGAGGCAACTTTTTTTTTACTTAACTTTTCTTTCAATTTTATTTGGACACCTAATATTGTATGCATCAAGTTATTTATAGTTCATTTAGTATAGTAGTTTAAAGTAACAGTTAACAGTTTTATCTAAACCGTTGTAAAATAAGAGCATGGTAAATTTGTTTATTAAGAAACTGCTACAAGCTCAATATTTGGTAATAAATTTTATTTAACATTTTGGGATTAACAAATAGTAGTTAGAGTCTAAATTGCTAATAAATTAAATTAGAATTTTTTAAATTTTATTGACAAATTTATTTATTTTAATTTTTAAAATTTTTTGCCATA